CAATCACTTACAGGTCCATAACAGATCGTGAACTCAGGTATAATTGATGGAAATAATAAAATTCTGAATTAAAAAAGACAAAAGGCAGAAAAAAAAAGCTAACACATGGTCTTCTGCAAAGAAGTGTCAATCATCATCATATATATATGAGTATATGTCTACATGAGAATATATATAAATGAATATAATTTCAGAAACAGAGACATGACTTTTATCTATACATAATATATATATATATATATATATATATATATATATATATAAAAAAAAGAAAGAACAGTAAGATATATAATCCTGTGTTCTTATCGATATTTTTATTTTTAGAAAATAGTGCTCAATGTCAATTTACAGAGCATTATATAGACATATTGAACACCTAGACACCCCTTTCTAGAAAAATAGATTTATCTGTAACCTTGGAAACATGAATTTTGTTTTAGCTGTGTATTTAAAACCCAGTAATTTTAAAAGTTACTCCAAAATTCACTTAAGGATGAAAATGAACTAATGTCTTTAATTTAATAACAGAATTAAATTCGGGGCTTTTAGCTTCCATTTTTGAAACATGGTTAGGACTGTGTAGCAAAAAAAAAAAAACATATTTTAAATCAATTAATTTATAGTATTATATATATATATATATATATATATATATATATATATATTACACAGCAGAATCCCAAATTACCTCATATGGATGGGAGATAGAGGTATTTCAATGGATGAGAATTATGTCAGTCTTATTCAACCCTGGTATATAGACTGAGTTTGTGTCAGAATTAGAAACTTAACAGGGACAGCTGTTGAAAAATTAATACAGAATTTATCCATTTCAATGTTTCAGTCAGACGAAAGGTACGAGACAGTGGTCAGGGGAGGGTGGAAAGTATTAGCCTTCAAGGCAAGAGGTTTAATAAAATTAACCTGGATATTGACCTTATGACATTAAAAAGAGGTTATATGAAGAATGAGGTGTTAAAATGAAACTAAAAAGAGGGCTGATAAATTTTTATATATATATATATATATATATATATATATATATATATATATATATATATATATATATATATATATATAAAAAGTCAGGTTCTACTTAAAAAAAAAAACAAATTATATTTAGAAATGAGATATATTAAAAAAGATTATTTTTTATTTTTTATTTTTAATCTATTTAATATTTCTCATATAATATAATCCAGACTAATAACATTAAAATTTATTACATATAAATGGTAACTTTCGCACTGACAGTAAAAGTTTAGTAGCTCATTGATGTTCTCTATATAAATCGATATTTTACAGTTGAAATGTCCAGATAAATCTGTAAGTTGTATGCTAACAGTTATTTTTCTCACACATCTCATTTGTGGATCTCTCTTCTGGCTTTCCAGTCAACTTTGATCTTCATAAGTTTAAATGTAATGTCAATCATTCTCTACTTTCTTCTTGATTCCTGTTCTTTTTTTATTCGTGATCTTTAATAATGTTTTTCTTTTTTTATATTCTTTCACACTCAGTAACTGTATCTTAGTGGCTTTGTTGCCTTGCTTGGGATGAAATAATATACATATATATGTGTGCTGGAGAATTACCATGTGGTCCAAGAGGGCCAGAGTGGTGTAGCCTAAATTTGCATATAAGAAGAGCAAATTGTGACCAAGGTGACTGAGCCAAACTGAGGCTGGCAGATGCTAATATTCTGACTTGGGAAAGAATGCATAAAAATATAAATATATATATATATATATATATATATATATATATATATATATATATATATATATATATATTGTGTGTATTTAGGCAGCACATTCTCATCCACACGTTTCATTAAACAATACAGACAAGTGTTGTCTATTTATTTTATGTAAAATTTTTTCGTATCTTCTGATAAGTTTGGTAACATTATCATTAACCGAAAAAAGAAATTCACAATATTTATCCATTATTTTTTAATAAAATCTAAGCTTTCGGCTTACTCAAGCCATTATCAAAGATGTAATTACAAACATATCAAACAATATACGGACACGACAGTGATGATAGTCTGTCATTGTTTTGTTTACACAGTGGATCACTAAGCAACGATGAACACGTGCATATAAGACGCTAGAAGCGAAAATCGCACCGCATCCCATGACGTCACACATGACCACACGAGAGTGAATTGTAGAATGAAATAAGGAAAGCCGTTGGTATAAACCAATGGCTTCTGTTACCAATCATAGAAATTATAGACATCCAAGAATACCTGCAGAGATTCCATAGTTGATTTTGTTTAGGTTGGGTCTTAACTGTTTGATGCACAACGCTTCAAGTATTTTTAGTTTTTGTCTATTGTCCTCATGTCGAAGTATAGCTGTGCTCTCGACAAGTATTTTACGGAATTGTGTGTGCGGGCAGGCATGCCATTTCAAACGCCCAAAAATGTTAGAGTTTTATATATATACACACAAATATATATATATATATATATATGTATATAATATATATATATATAGCATAAATATATATATATATATATATAATATGAACATTCTACTGCCTAAAATATATATATATATATATATATATATATATATATATATATATATAATATGAACATTCTACCGCCTAAACTTCTAAATGATTGAATTCCCTGTATCCTTTGAAACAAATATTATGAATGTATGTGCTTTTAAAACTCAGTAAATTTTCAAAATAAGTTATTGCAAAATTTGCTTTTAATTTAATAATATAATTGAATTTGAAGATGTTAGTTTCTGTTTTTGAAACATGGTAATTTCTGTGTATCTATGGAACCGTATTTTTAAATTAGTTAATTTATAATATTTATGCTCTGTAAAATTACATTGAGCACTGTTTTGTAAAAATAAAAATACCAATAAGAACACCGGATTATATATTTTGCTGTTCTTTTTTTTTTTAATAATATATATATATATATATATATATATATATATATATATATATATATATATATATATATACATTTTATAAGCATGAGTTAACCTGAAAGCATATATATTATGAAATGGACTTATTTTAATATATTTTATTGTTAAACAAATATTTGTGTCTATATAAATAACATTTAACTATAATATATATATATATATATATATATATATATATATATATATATATATATATATATATATATATATATATATATAAATGAAGAGAACAGACAGATTTAGAATCCACAGTTCTCTGGCATTTAACTTTTAAAAAGTGCTCAATACAAACATAGAACATAATATGCTACCAAACATTGTCTGATGACGAGATAAAAATTTCAAGTCTCAAAATATAGAGATTTCCGTGTCTCAATGTAAAATTTTTTTAATAAAAATAAAATATATATATATATATATATATATATATATATATATATATATATATATATATATATATATATATCTATATATATACAAATTTATTAGGACTTTATTATAAATTTGTATATATATTAAGACTTTATTTTATTATTTTACACACACACATATATATATATATATATGGAAAAATATAGGGATATTTACGGGAAGAGATATATATGGAAAAAATTATATTGAAATATTTATATATGTTTCTTGGCGTAAAAAGAATAGTGATCAAAACATAGTATTAAAAAATGAAATGAAATTGCCTTGACTATATAAACAAACTTAAAATTTAAAAAAAATTAATTTATAAGTTTTAAAATTCAGCACCTACACTTTTTCATGTCATGTATCTCTTTAGTCTGCTGACATCCTAGATATGACAAAATGCACCACCAAAATGATTTTTTCAGTGTGCCATTAATTATTCCAAAACTCTGTTCTATACATGGAAATATTCTCAGATGGAGCATATCTGTAGAAGAGGCAAAATGAATAAAAAAGACAAGAGGAAAACTATACTTAGCTGATGTGTTTTGTCATTTGACAAAACACATTATTCATATATATATATATATATATATATATATATATATATATATATATAAATATATATATATCTAGGAAAGATATTATAATGGTTCCAACAAGAGAAAAGTGTTTATATTAAAAGAAAAAGAAAATATATATATATATATATATATTTATATATATATATATATATATATATATATATATGTATATATATATATATATATATTTGAATTTGTAGGTCTCAGTTTAATTTAATTAATTATATTGAAGTTTTTGGCTCCTTTTTTTTGAAACATGAGAACTCTTATGTAACAAAGGAATCGTATTTTTTTTAAATAATTATAATTTAGGCTATACTTTTGTATTGAGCACTATTTTAAAATAAAAACAAAAATACTTCAGATTATTTACTTAATATGTTCTTTCCTATTTTTCTATATATTTACACAGACACACACACAGACACACACACACACGCACACACACACACATATATATATATATATATATATATACATATTTTTATGTGCATGCATGTTTATGTAGAGACAGATTAGTCAATATAAACAAAACTTTACCAACATGCTGCGTCAAATACATCCACATTATGCTAATGATATGATAATGAGGTTAGACACAGTTTTTATATAAAAACAGCGGAAAAAAATCAGAAATAAAACATTCAAAATGAAGAAATAGAAAATCTTGTACTCCATTGAAGAGAACCAACTATTGTCTGATGGAAGATGTGGAGGGACATTCTTCACAAGTTTCCCTTTGTAAGAAAACAATGGGCCCCTTAACTCCTTGAAAAATATTTCACAGTAAAAGGTTATCATCTTCACGTCTCAATATTGTTGCATCTCTTTTCATCTTTTCAAATCTATCCACGGGTTCTCTTCTTGTCATCAGTTTCTGTTGTTTTTCATATACACTTTACGTATTGTTACGGACATTCTTTTTTTTCCCAAACAGCATTTTTTTTTCGTTTTTATCTGTTCACTGTCTGCCTCAAGTATTTAACGTACACACACTTTGGGGACAATGCTTTAGACCGATTCCTTGTTTGGAAGCACTCTAAAGAAATTCCATTTGATTAAAAAGAATGAATGTAGGAAAATAGAGGAGGAAAAAAATGAGAAATGAAAAAAGAAGAAAGAGAACAATTGGAGAAAAAGACAAGTGAATAAAAAATGAGGAATGAAAAAAGAAGAAAGAGAACAATTGGAGAAAAAGACAAGTGAATAAAAAATGAGGAATGAAAAAAGAAGAAAGAGAACAATTGGAGAAAAGAATGAATAAAAAAAGGAATGAAAAAAAGAAGAAAGAGAACAATTGGAGAAAAGACAAGTGAATAAAAAATGAGAAATGAAAAAGAAGAAAGAGAACAATTGGAGAAAAGACAAGTGAATAAAAAAATGAGGAATGAAAAAAAAAAAAGAAAGAGAAAAGACAAGTGAATAAAAAATGAGGAATGAAAAAAGAAGAAAGAGAACAATTGGAGAAAAAGACAAGTGAATAAAAAATGAGGAATGAAAAAAGAAGAAAGAGAACAATTGGAGAAAAAGACAAGTGAATAAAAATGAGGAAGAGAAAATTGGAGAAAAGACAAGTGAATAAAAAATGAGGAATGAAAAAAGAAGAAAGAGAACAATTGGAGAAAAAGACAAGTGAATAAAAAATGAGGAATGAAAAAAGAAGAAAGAGAACAATTGGAGAAAAAGACAAGTGAATAAAAAATGAGAAATGAAAAAAGAAGAAAGAGAACAATTGGAGAAAAAGACAAGTGAATAAAAAATGAGGAATGAAAAAAAGAAAAGAAACAATTGGAGAAAAAAAACAAGTGAATAAAAATGAGGAAAAAAAAAAAAAAAAGAATTGGGAAAAGACAGATGAAAAAGAAGAAAAAGGAAGAACAATTGGAGAAAAAGACAAAGAATAAAAAGGGGCTTTGAAGAAATAAGCAGCTTAGTATGTTAAAGAGAATAAAAATAGGAAAAAGTGATGGCAAAGATTAAAGAATAGGAAGATGAGTGAAGAATAAGGGGAAGAAAGATGGGGAAGACAGTAAAAAAGGAAAAGAATAAAGAGAAAGAAGGAAAACAAAGAAAAGGAAACTGAAGGCAATAATGAAAATAAATAAAGAAAAAGAAAATGGAAAGTGAGAAAATGAGGAAAAAGGGAAAGAAGAAAATGAAGGAAAAAGAAGAGAATGAAAAAGGAAAAAGAAGAAATAGAAAAAAGAAAGAAGGAAAAGATAATACAAAGAAAATAAAGGAAAAGATGAAAAAGAAAGAAAAAAGAAGGCAATAAAGAAGGAAAACAGAGAAAAATAATATAGAAAAAAGAAAGAGAAGACAAAGACAATAAATGAAAAGGTGAAAAAGAAAAAGAAAGAAGGAAAAAGAAAAGGAAGACAATAAAGAAGGAAAAATAAGAAAAAAATGGAAAGAAAGAAAAAGAAAATAAGAAACAAGTACAAACAAGAAATGGAACGAAAGAAAAAAAAGAAAATAAACTAAAAGAAAAAAGATAAGAGGAAAAAGAAGGAAAATGATGAGAAGGAAAATGAAAAGGAAAAACAAAAATAAGACAAAGAAAATAAAAAGGATAAGAAGAAAAAGGAAAGAAAAAAGACGGAAAAAGAAAAATAGAGGAAAAGAAGGAAAAGGAAAGACAAAAAAGAAGAAAAAAGAAAAAGAAAGGTGAAAAGGTGGAAAGATAAAACTGAAGAAAAATTAAGAGAAGTAAAAATATAAAGTCAAGAAAAAGTCTGAGACAAAAAAGAAAGACTTAAAAAAACAAAAACAAAAAATGCAATTCTTTTGCTTTGTATTTCATTCCATTGGGAAAATCCGTGTCATTTCTTTGTTTGTTATTTATTTTTATCAGAGAAAGATTTGGATTTGATTTGCTCTCATCGTCGTTTCTTTTCTTTTCGTTGTTGCAGTTTTTGCCTTCCTACTTGCTTGGTTTTTATTGCATTTCATAAAAGATTTCTCCGATATCTTTTTTTTTCTACTTAAAGGGAAAAAAATGTACCTGTTTGTTACAAACTTCTTTCTCTCGTCTTTTCCATCCATTTTTTTATCTTTTCTATTAACAAAGGAAACTTCTTACTGCGGTAATCTAAAGATGTATACACAGCCGAGGGCAGACAATTTGGTCTTTTCTTTTATGATGTTTTGTTTAACTGTTGAATGATATTTTGCACATTCCTGTTCATGGAATTTGGAATTCATATCTTTTTTTTTTATCAACAACAATCTTTCTCTGATTACTGATGAGTAGCCATTTTATTCTCAGTATTTTTTATCTCCATTTTGACTCGTCTCTTATTTGGTCACATTCCTTGAAAAGGTCCCTTGATTCTTGTAACTTCTGCAAATGCAATACCAATATTCTAATTAGATAATATATATATATATATATATATATATATATATATATATATATATATATATGCATATTTAGGCAGTATATCTTCATCGAAACATGTTTGGTTGAATAACCTGGACATATTATGTCTATTTATTTTTATCTTAATCCTCTTAAATTCACAAATTAATTTCTTAATGTTATTATTAAACTGATTAAGGAAGAAGCTGTAGTTTTCCTCATTTCTTTTCTTTTCCCAAGTACTTTCAATCTCATCAAGGAACTGACAGCCAGATGCCTACACACAAGCTTTGATTATACTGTTGAAGGCTGTGTGCAGAGCCAACCACCCTTTTTAAGGAATCAAATATAGGTCCCCAAACAAACATCCGCATATTTTGAATTCAGAGTTGTCATTCTCTTAGACCAGTTGCCCTCTGGGGTTATAGAGCCCAGTCAGTCCTGATATTTAATTTACCCATAGCTGGTGGGAGAAAAAGAGGATTCATCCCTTTCCCAAGGGTATTAGCATGTAAGTGAATATAATGGGTTTGGCTGGAATTTGAACTTGACTCTCTGATTCCTCAATCTGAGCCGCTGTCCATTACTCCACTGAACATCCAATATATATATATATGAGGTTTGTGATGAAAAGTTGTCATTTTACTTCCTTAAACCAGTATCTTGGCTATCCAAAATTTAAAAATTAATCATTTTGTCTGATGATCGTGAATAGCATGAAACCCAGGGTCACAAACTCAAATCAATCCAACTAAATATATATATATATATATATATATATATATATTTCAATTTTGATTGATGATCAATGAAAGTTTTGTGTTGAATATTTTTTTTCTATATTTTGCACAATATTCCTTCCTTAAATATCTTTGATAATGGCCTATGAAAACAGAAACTACCCATTCTAAAATTTATATTTAAATATGTTCCAGAATCTAATGAAATGGTCTGAAATACAGAAAAATGCATAACAAAATCTTACCAAAGAACTTTATGCATGCATGCTCATACACACACAAAGTCACATGCACACAAACATATGCACACACACAAAGATATATAGAAATTATACTAACATTTGTTTAACAAGTCAAATGTATATGAAACCTGATTAACCAATTAGAATCAAACAGCACAAAAATAGAAATACAAGCATTTCTTTCTTCTTTTTCTCCATATCTCATTGCCTGATGAAACTTTATTGAAAGTGAAACATGTTAGACTGATAAATGTTTCCTCTTTGTTCTTTAACTTATCATTCTGTTGGATCCTGATCCATATTTGATTCCAACTTACACACACACACATATCATCTCAAGGTCCTTGACAAAATCCAGAGATGGATATGCAATGTGATTGGTCCTGATCTGGCATCTCGTCCACGGTCACTTTCTCAGAGACATGATATGGCTTCCCTTCGTCTTTTCTACAAATATTTTCATGGCAACTGCTCTGATAAGCTACTTTCACTGGCACCCCAACTGCATGAATTTAAGCGTGCTAGTAGGTTGGCATCTCATTCACACCTTTTCACTGTTGAAATGTAACTGCCTCTTCTACTCCAAAAGCTTCTTCTCTCACACTTCCCAACAGGGAAACTCCCTTCCTCTTACTTGCTTCCCTGATGCCTATAATCTTCAAATGTAATACCAATCAACATCTTCTGATGCCTTAATCCAGATCCCCATCCATGTCTATATCCTTTCCTCAAACACCCGGCTTTATACTTACTCTCACTCTCTGTAACTCCTTGCCTGCTAGTGACACTCCCACCTTGCTTGGGGTGAAATACTTAAAAAAATATATATATATATATATATGTAGATACATTGGATTAATAAGTGTTATTTACCTAAAAACATATGGTTATTTATTTACTATAAACTTATGTTATTTAAAGATTTCGGCTTTACTATAGTAAATATGAAGAAACATTTTAACAAATACATTTATATATTGAAACAGAATGAAGGAAAACATATTCAATAGGCATTGGTAAACAGAATAAACTGATACAAGTGGAGAATGTAAATTTCTAGGTGGCTGGTTATAGAAAGCTGTAAGTTATTCAAGAACTTTCTAAGTGGTCATTAACATTCTTGCTATGATCTTAGTGTATCAGTTAAGTATTAACTGTTGTTGTTGTTGCCAAAGCAACTATGTAGATAAAACAGGGGAACAGAGATGCTTAGCTTCATCATGAAGACTTTATCTATTCATCGTTGGTTTGCCCATAAGATGCTTTGACAGTGAACAGTTCTCAATATGGCACCACTCAAAAGATTTTTGTAAACAGCATTGTAAAAAAAAAAACGAAACAAAAAAAAAAGCAGCAACCAAGAGTTGCTTTGCAAAGTGTTATAAGCAGATCTTCAAATATCAGGGGCAACATTTACACCCGAAACTGTCAGCAGCACACTCCGTCAGCTTGTGATCTTTGAGAGCATGAAAAGTGCCACTTCTGAAGAAATCACACGTGGAGGTGCGTCTGAAGTTTGCTAATGAGCATTTATGTAAGCCATACACTGACTAGAATAATATTTGTTCGTCTGATGTAACCAAAGTAGAGTTATTTCCCCTTAGTTCATGTTGGTAAATTCTGGAGAAGAAAGAATAATGAAGAATTAAAGTTGGAGAAAACTGAATTAACTATTAAGCTTGAGGCTGCAGTGTAATGGTATGAGCCTGATTTTTTTATAAAATGGTATGAGTCTGATTTTCATAAAATGGTATGAGTCTGATTTTCATAAAATGGTATGAGTCTGATTTTCCTAAAATGGTATGAATCTAATTTTCATAAAATGGTATGAATCTAATTTTCATAAAATGGCATGAGTCTGATTTTTTATAAAATGGTAAATGAATGAAATGCTATACCAAGATAAGTTAAATTAGAACCTACTTAAATTTGTCAAGGCTTTTAAAATAAAGCTTGTTTGTTTCAACAGAACAGTCTTTATAAAGATAATACAAAAAAAAAACAAAAAAAGAACAGCCATTTAAAAATAGTAGAATAAGATAAAATCAATCATTTGAAGTGGTCCTGCCATTTCCACTGACTTGAATCCAATTGAAAAAGTATGTCTATATTTGTCAGCCTAGTAAATTGTATGAATCAAAGATCTTCCAGGAAGAGTTGTCCAAAATACCAATAAAAGATGTTCAAATCTAATGGTTTCTTATAGGAATCGTCTGGAAGCTGTCATTATTAACAAAGACTATTCCATAAAGTATTAGGCTCTGATAATGTTGAATACATTTTTTGCTCCATCTTTTTTTTTTCTTTAAGCATATCTTTTCTAATTCCATATAAGTTTATTTATTGAGATTATTTTATCATATTTACAATTGTATATATGAAACTTATATGTGATGTAATTTTGAGGCAAATGCTATATGTCTGTGCAGTTAAAGCAATAGTTTTTTTATGGCATGTGATGAATACATATTCCCCCTCCACCACTGTATATTAGAAAAGTTTTGTCAACAATAACAGATATGATGTCTTTTATATTTCTTATCAATTTTTCTTGTTGATAGATTCATTTCCATATCTTGATGTTAAAGTTGATTAGGAACTGTTGACAGTTCATGTTAGGGTGTGTGTATTAGACTTGTGAACATTTCGCTGACGGCAGTCAGTATGAAGAATGAAAAAAAATAAATGACAGTGTGCAACATTGGAATGATTTTGAATTTTGAAGTTTTTAATGTTTAGGTTGTCATGAAAACGTTCTGCGATTTTAAGTTTTAAAATTTTGTGGATAAGGAAAACTTAAATTCATGTCGTGTTGCCTCTTAAAAATTCTGTCCATTGTTTGGACTTAATAGGAATAGCTTCTAAAAATTGTAAACGAAGTTTACAATTTGCTTTGTTGAATGTTACTTTGTTACTCACAAAAAATTTTATTATTGTAAATTTTATGTTTATTCATTATTTGTTGTCGTATGGTACTTTAGTAGGATTATATCAAGTTACTCTATGATAAAGTGTTGTAATTGTATATCCTGTATATGCATTTTATATATTTTATATATTATATGGGTTTTATATTATTTTAAATGTGGAATAATGACAATCTACCACCATGGACTAAATAAAGGCTTTGGTTTGAAATACCAGCATATATCACCTAAAGAAGGTCAGAACATATAATGGCTGAAACGTGAATATGGCAATAAAGATGAGGACAAAAGCCCAAATTATATAAATACTGTATATATATATATATATATATATATATATATATATATATATATATATATATTCAGTTGTATGGATATGAGTTTGTGACCTTGGGGTTTCATGTTTTTGCAATCATCAAACAAAATGATTTGTCTGATGATGGTGAAAGTCACAAACTCATATTCATACAACTGAATATGTTAGCTCTATCAATGATATTGAGTGCTTTTTACTAAGTACTGCACATATAAAATAAAACACACACACACACACACATATATATATATATATATATAAATGTGCGTGTGCATGTGCACATGTGTGTGTGTGTGTGTGTGTGTGTGTGTGTGTGTGTGTGTGTGTGTGTGTGTGTGTGTGTGCAAATATATAGAAAGTTTTTGG